CGCGCGGGGCCCCCCGCCGTGAAGGGCTCAGGGACAACTGCACGGGGGCATGGGCTGACCGGCTGTCGGCCCCCGGTGCTGGCCAGACGACCCCCGGCCGCCACTCCCAGCTCACCGAGGTCTGCACTGCCTCAAATCAGAGCGGACAAGCACGCGTGCTCGCTGACCCTCACTGGACCTGTTCCAAAGGTCCGCCAGGACCCTTCCCCTCGTCCTCGCCCTTCTTGGGATGCCCAGGCCGACCGTCTCGCTGGGCCTTCGATGACGCTCAGGCCTCTGAAGCTAGAGCCCTGTGAGAACGTGCAGGGCCCTGGGCTCAGCCTGCTAGGTGCATGTGACCGGCTGTGCTTCCGGCTGGCCTGCTGCTGGGGGTGACACACGCAGGGCTCCGGGGACACGCTCCTCTAGGCCTGTCCCAGGGCCAGGCCCTCCCCGTGTTGGGCCGACTGTGCCACAGTTTGCAGCACCACAGGTCCCCGACGTCTCCGACTCAGCTCCGAGCAGGACTGGGCTTTGCTACATGCCGTTGCCCCATGTGGGGAGAGCGTCCCTGATCCCAGGCCAGTGCGGACAGCACAGATGCTGTGAACGCACATCATAGCCTGTGAGAGGAGTTTCTCCCGGGCCGTGTTTACTAACACATCACAGGCAGCGCCCACAGCGTCCCCCAGGGAATGGGTCCTCGCCCCAGCCGTGGAGAAAACCCGAGAACTGCTCCTCACAGATCAGTGACTCAGCACATTTGCTGGTCTGCTGAGTGTTTCTGGAGAGCACTCGTAGGACGCCGGGCCAGGCAGACTGCCAGGGCCTGCCCTGTACCGCATGCCGGCTGTGAAGGAGACGTGGGGTAAAAGCATGCCAGGCCACGGACAAGCCACAGGCCAGGCCACGGACCCGCCACAGGCAAGGCAGGAAAGCAGCGGAAAAAGCCACAGGTCAGGCCACGGACATGCCACAGGCCAGGCCATGGACACAATACAGGCCAGGCCACAGACATGCCACATGCCAGGCCACAGACATGCCACAGGTCAGGCCATGGACACGCCACAGGCCAGGCCATGGACACAATACAGGCCAGGCCACAGACATGCCGCATGCCAGGCCACGGGCACACCACATACCCGGCCACAGACACGCCACAGGTCAGGCCATGGACATTTCACATGCCAGGCCATGGACATGTCACATGCCAGGCCATAAACACATCACATGCCAGGCTATGGACACACCACAGGTCAGGCCACGGACACGCCGAGGCCAGGCTCCACCCTGGTAGGCCATGTCCTTCCACACTTACTGTGCCATAGGAGAGACAGTGTCCTGTGTACTGTCAGGGAGTTGGGGCCAGAGAGCCCGCACGCGACCTAACTTCTGTGAACACACCGAGCGTCGTCAGTGCGCCGGGGTTGCTGGTTCTCTGATCCCTCCTTGTTTTTCACCTGCACGTCTCCACCACTGGCCAGGCCCCAAGCCAGACTCCCGTTGCCACGCTTTTCTCAGTCTCGTTGGAGCCGAGGGCCTCTCCGTGAGCGGGAGCACATGGGCTGTTCTAGACGCCGGCAGACGCAGCTCCGGGGTTGCAGCGAGCTGGCTCCAGGGTACAGACGAGATTTAAGTAAGGCCTGTAGATCGGCCCGGCTCCACTACGGGAGCTTACACTTTACTTATTGTCACCTTTCTCTCCTTTGTTCTTTTCTCTTTTTCTAAAAAAATTGCCAGACGGCAAGTACACTGCTAGAAAGACAGAGAAACAGAGGGACAGACAGAGGGACAGGAGGAGCAAAGCAGCACCCAAGGGGCACGGTCACGCGGCACCCCCTCCTCCCTCTCCCCCTCCTTTCAGGGTTTTGCGCATGCACACACCCGCC